AATTTCAATTAACCCGAACGATAAAATTAATTTCTTGAAGGATCCTTGTGGAAATATCACCAATTATTAATTAAAGTATCCTCTTTTTAACGCAAAAAGCCGTTTTGAAAAATCACTTTTAGTTTTTGAGAAATAAATTTTTGAAATGATCGACAATTTTGCAATTTTCGCCGATTAAGTTTTAAAAATTCGTATAAAATCTATTTCTTAGGATATTAGTATGAAAATTTCCCAACGTGTTAATAAAAGAGTCCTCTTTCTAATGAACCATCCCGTTTTGAAAAATAACTTTTAGTTTTTGAGAAAACAGTATTTGAAGTTTTGATAAAATTTTCGATGTTGCAATTTTTATCGATAATAAAAAAGAAATGTCTAAAAGTCTTTAAAAGAATCTTCTACGCAATTTCTCGTCTTTTCTACAGCTTCTCCGCAACAGCAGCAGAAGAAGGAGATGAAGAAGAAGCAACAAACCGGTTGGGTTCTTCGCGTTGGCATCTAAGTTACTATACAACCAAGTTACCAATTGAAAAATAAACCCACTAAAGACTCTTCTCCGCAAACCTGCACCTGATTTATACTCTTTTACCTCTTACTACTTCGGAGATAATCTCATCCTCTTTCTCTAGTCACTACAAAATCTTAGCAAAAAGAAACAAATTAGTCTTACTTCTTCTACAACTTTTCTTCTCTTTGCCTGTAAAAGTGAAAGAATGAAAAGAAAGGGAAGAAGAAGATGAGTTAATTAATCACGTAACAGCTTAAGATTATGACATCTTAGTCGGATTAAAGTCGTAAGAGGTTCGTGATAAATCATCGGTTAATTAACAGACATCGATAAGATTTAGAACTCTTTTTTATTATTATTTTTTAACTTTATTATCTCTTACCGAATTATTCAAATTCTATCTTCGCGCGCCATCTCTCGGTGCGAAAACGTGACCGAGCTTAATATTTGAAGCGTGAAGTTCGTTCCATCTCACTCTCATTCTTGGTATCCGACGATTTAAAGCTGTATGTGTGATCAAAGAATAATCCTTTCCCTCTATCTCTTTTCAACTTCGTTTGGAACATTTATTTCTATCTCACTCAACCACATCGCTGCGAGGCCACCTAGAGGGCGAGTTAACACTTCTTCATTTGTTGACTTTTCAGAGATCAATACGAGAGCGCGCGCATACGGTGTTAAATTATTTTGTTTTTTTTTTTGGTTATTTATTTTTGATTTAAATTAATTATTAGTTATTAATTAAATGTTTAAAAAAAAATTAAATAACGTTGGAGGAGCTGGGATTTGAACCCAGGACTTTCAGCATGCGAAGCAGACACTCTACCACTGAGTTACACCCCCTTGTTATGACACCCCGAATAATATAAAATTATTTTAAACTAATCTTTTTAAATTTAATTATTGTTTTTATTAATTTGTTTTATTAATTAATATTCAAAAACGATCATTAAATCCAAATAGTGTTAAAATTAAAATATTCGGGATTTAATAAATAGTATCTCCATCTCTTGTTAAATTTATCAATTAAAGAAACGTCAAAAATATTGTTTGTTTACATTAATTTGACAGTTGTACTGGGGGGTTGTATTTTTTGCGATTTATCGATAATCGAGCGGGGGCACGCTTAAATTTCCAGTGATTTCGTTACCATAGAAAATCAGGAATCATCAAATAAAGTAATAATGACCCCCTTAAAACCCCATTAGCAAGGGAAACGTTTTAAAAATTTCTTTGAGGTTATGTATACCTTTATAAGAATTTCGATTATGAATTATGAGCGAAACGGATGATACTAACGAATTGGTTCTGATCCCACCCGATTTTTTCAGTTGCGAACTCCCATTTTTCGAAGAGAACCGCTATTTTGATGTGGTCGATAATTTAATAACTCAGGTAAACTTTTTTGAGGTTATGTTAATCTTTAAATACATTTTTATCATTTTTAGGTGACTAATTTAGAGAATCGCATAAATTCAATTGAAACTAACTCAGATTTATCAAGCTTAACATCACCAAATCCATCTTTTATGTCTTCAGTTCGAAAATATCGAAGTTCCGATGACGTCACTGAAACCCAAGTAATACAAAAAAGTTATTTTTTAAAAAAGACTATTTAATTATGTCATTTTTAGATTAAAGATGGGTTCGATAGTACACAAAGTACGCCACAAAAGCCTCAAACTCGAAGGGTGTCATCTTCTGGTAATTTCAGGGGGCGCAACTTAAATGCTGAAGGCTTTAAACAAAGTGAGTTAAAAGCGGCAACATTAAAGCAAATCGACCAATACCTTGAAAACAACGAATACTTTTCAAAAAACAGTTTAAATATAAAAGATTTAGAATTTATGGTACAAAAAATTGAAAATCAACAAAAAGAATTCGATTTTTTATCAGCTAGGAAAGAAAGTAGCGATTTAAATGATACAATTCATAGTTTAAGCAGTTCTAGTGGCGATTTAACTCAAATTACGACGATTCCGAATCGATTGGCTGCTGGAAGTGACTTTGTAGCCTCAGTTTCTTCTAAAACCGATATACGGAGAAGAACCCCTCCTGATGTGAGGCATAATTTGCGGCGAGGAACGTCTAAAAACAGCCCAATGAGAAATAATCAAAAAAAAACCGCACATTTTCAACGCCAATTCACCGAAACCGACACAACTAGTACAACAAGAGGTTCTGAAAGCTCATTTACACAATACTCAGAGAGATATTGTAATGATTACCAACGTTTTTATGATGTTAGTTATTTAAAAAAATTGGATGAAGAAAAAATGAGGAGACAGCGTTGTGAACAACTCATTCAGCAACTCCAAAAGCAAAATTTTGAAATGCAAGAACAATTAACATCTGCAATTCGTGTTGATGAAGCGAAAGATGACGCAATTTTGAGATTTCACAAAGCTTGGGAGCAAGTAGCCGGCCGTTTACAAACATTAGTTGAAGAAAGGGACGCTCTTGAATCCGAAATTAAAGAACTCCACCTCCAACATACCCGAAATTTCACCCAGGCTGCTGATAAAATGGTTCAACAAGAAAGCGAACTCAAAAAAATCACCTTAATTTCGCAAACGAACCAAGAAAAAAGTAAAGAAATGGAAAATTTGATCGTCGATTTAACAAACGAAATACAAAGATTAAATAAAAAGATTGACGAATTAGAAAGGGAACTGAAAGTGGAAAATGATGCGTGTAAAGGATTAAAAGATGAAGTGGAAAGGAAAGAAAACGAATTAAAGATGGTTAATGAAGAGTTATTGAATGCAAAGGAAAAAGAACAACAAAAAATATCGGATTTCGAAAACGAAATTGGGAAATTAAAGAATGTTTTGAAAGAAGATAAAGGAATTTTAACCGAAAAAGATGGGTTAATTGATACGTTGGAGCAACAGAACCAAAAGTTAATGACGGAAATCGACGTGCATAAAAATAAGGCGGTTGATCTTCAAAAAGATCTTGCCAAAATAAAAGAAACCAATGAAAAAGAAAAATTCGATTTGAAATATTTTTATCAAGAACAAGTCGAGAGAGTTGTGAAAGAAAAACTTTTAGATTTTCAAGTGCAATTGGAAAGAGCCCGAGGTGAACTTGAGGATGATTTGAAAAAGCGAGAAGTTATTGTTGCGAAAACTGCGGCGACGCATATTCAACAAATTGCTGATAAGTAAGTATTTTATTATACCAAAATAATTAATTATGAAACGAAAGTCTGGCAAAAGATGTTGGGAAATGAAAGAAAATTAAAAATGCTTTAAAATGAGTCCAAACTCGATGTATTTAACTTTATTTGTTGCTAAGATATCAATTAAATAAAAAAAAATTTGACAGTTGACAGGTCTTAACCTAACTTTTTTATATTTAACGTAAATATGTCGAGTTTGGTGTTAAATTAAAAGATTTTTAATGATCTTTAAGATTACGCTTTTTGTTATGTCCTTTAATCGTTAGTTTTTTAAAAAAATTTTTATCAAAATAGATGTTGGGAAATGAAAGAAAATTAAAAATGCTTTAAAATGAGTCCAAACTCGATGTATTTAACTTTATTTATTGCTAAGATATCAATTAAATAAAAAAAAATTTGACAGTTGACAGATCTTAACCTAACTTTTTTATATTTAACGTAAATATGTCGAGTTTGGTATTAAATTAAAAGATTTTTAATGATCTTTCAGATTACGTTTTTTGTTATGTCCTTAAATCGTTAGTTTTTTAAACAATTTTTTATCAAAATAGATGTTGGGAAATGAAAGAAAACTAAAAATGCTTTAAAATGAGTCCAAACTCGATGTATTTACCTTTTTTTGTTGCTAAGATATGAATTAAATAAAAAAATTTGACAGTTGACAGGTCTTAACCTAACTTTTTTTATATTTAACGTAAATATGTCGAGTTTGGTGTTAAATTAACGGATTTTTAATGATTTTTAAGATTACGTTTTTTGTTATGTCCTTAAATCGTTAGTTTTTTAAACAATTTTTTATCAAAATAGATGTTGGGAAATGAAAGAAAATTAAAAATGCTTTAAAATGAGTCCAAACTCGATGTATTTAACTTTATTTGTTGCTAAGATATGAATTAAATAAAAAAATTTGACAGTTGACAGGTCTTAACCTAACTTTTTTTATATTTAACGCAAATATGTCGAGTTTGGTGTTAAATTAACGGATTTTTAATGATCTTTAAGATTACGTTTTTTGTTATGTCCTTAAATCGTTAGTTTTCTAAACAATTTTTTATCAAAATAGATGTGGGGAAATGAAAGAAAACTAAAAATGCTTTAAAATGAGCCCAAACTCGATGTATTTAACTTTATTTATTGCTAAGATATCAATAAAATAAAAAAAATTTGACAGTTGACAGATTTTAACCTAACTTTTTTTATATTTAACGTAAATATGTCGAGTTTGGTATTAAATTAACGGATTTTTAATGATCTTTAAGATTACGTTTTTTATTATGTCCTTAAATCGTTAATTTTTTTAAATAATTTTTTTAGACATTCGTTAGAAATTCGTCTTCTTGAAGAAAAACATTCGGAAGAAGTCCGTTTATATCAAGTACAAATAACCCAAGCTCAACAATTATTAGATAATTTACAATACAAATTACAACATCAACAATTAAAAAAGCATGATATGGCAAAACAATTACATAAATTGATGGAAGCTCAATGGTTAGAAGCATTAAAAATAATCAATAATGGAAGAAGTCCTTTAACCGATCTAGATCTAACGAATCAATTAAATCAATTAAAATCGAAATCGTATAATAATATGGAGGAAGTTTTAGAAATGGGGATAGATGAAGTTCAAGAACAACAAACTAAAAATTCACAAACAAATTATTGTCAAAACGTTCCAATGGAGCCTTATCACATGGAAACTCCGTTGACGAGCCGCCAACCTAAAAAACCGGATGTGGATGATGTCCATAAATTTATTCATATGTTAATGAATAAACAAAATGCAAGTCCAACTGGGGATCATAATCAACCCACCAGGAATCAAACGGGAAGTGTTCATCAAGTTGATTTTGCAGCATGGCAACAAGTAATTCAATTAAATTTTCCTTACAAATTAAGATTAATAATAATAATTTAATAATTTTTTTTTAGCAAGAAGATATTCGAGGTAAAACCAAAGATAAAAAAATTAAACCACCTTGGAAATAATAAAATTTTTGGGTTTTAATATGTATTAATTATTCTTGTAATTTATTTTTTTATCTTTATTAATAAGAAAATATAATTTTTACATTTATTTCAAATTTTAATTCAACGTGTAGCGACATCTCTTATTTAATAGCAGAATTAATCATATTCCCGTAGATGTCGCTAAAAATCAAGTTCCTACAATATAAACGCCCTTCTTAAAAACCAACAAAATAACACATCTGCTGTGCAGACGAAATTTTCATGATACATTGAACACATTTCAGTAGCTTTTGCCGGTCGATCGTGAACGCATCTGCGTTTAAAACGAAAAAAACACCGTAGAAGATCGACTTAAACCAAGCAAATCGCATCAAAAAGAGTCTTTTTTAACATTTGGTGAGTTAAATCGATTTAAATTTATTGTGTTATTATATTTAAATGAAAAAAATAAGTGTTTACACTGCGGTTAGTTAACATCAATCATATCCTTATTAGATAAACACTAAATAGACTGTGTTGTATGTATTTGAGTTCTGTTTCATAGATTAGTTTATTAAAATAACACTGTAGAGTATTAAATAGGGCTTCAGTTCGTTTCATCATCGAGTTATATTTAGAACTTTATTTAATATTTCAAGCAAAATTTTGACTTGGATTCAAATTTGACGTTTTGATGTATTTCAATTTCAAAATTTTCAATTTAAACACTTTTCACATCATCATCTTTTTGTTTAATCGTTTGTAATAAAATTGCTTTCTACGTTATTAACCTTTTTGTTAAACTCTTCTTTGACATTTCAAATTATCTTTCTCTTTCTATCTCATTATGTATTAAGGATTTTGCTTTTATATTGCAATTCAAAGACTTATTGCAAAATTAAAATCATTATTGGTTAAAAGCAAACAAAACCTGAGACGGAGTTTTGTTGGAAACCTTTTCTCCTTTTATTTAGTTTTGCAATGCACGCAGAGGATCTTTAAGCAAGATAACCCTTTTGGTTGGAAGGTTAAAGACCGTGTTTATTTTTGGCACTGGGATCATCAACCTAACCTAAAAAAAATTTTTTTTGTATAAATTTTTCAAACGTAATCTGAAAAGATTCATTTATTTAGGTTTTTTTGAACTCAAATCATTGTTATTCTATAAAACACGAATAAATGTTTATGTAAATTTGTATACCGTTAAATCTCGATTTGTATGGAGCACGAGTTTCATTGTTTTTATCTCCGATTGTTGCTGATAGAGTTGTTCGATCCACGATTGTTGTTCCAACAACGGAAAATCCCCTCTTTTTTTCATGCATCTTTCACCAGTTTTTTACACGGTCTAAATTTCACGACCGCCGTTTAAAATGTTGTGAGAAAATCGCCTTTTCCTCTCGTTAAGATCTTTATCGTCTCTTTATTAATCCTTACAACATATGCAAAAGCGAAGATGAACAATGTTCGCGTAGTCACGACTTTTTCAGGTTTCTTAAATGTCTTTATGTCAAGGTTTGTTTCTTTCATATTTTTGAATTATTTTTGACTGCCATTTGACATAACAATAAATGTCATTATCGATAAAATAGAGACCTATAATTTATTAATTATATCATAATACAAAAATTAAATATTTTTTATAATTTATAATTTTTTTGTAATTTGCAGATATCGCAACATACAAAATCATGAACGGTTTAAAATTACTTTGTGTGTTTTTATTATTCACATTTATTAAAGGAGAATTGTATACTGCTTTAGTTGACTTGGAGGAATTATTACACACAGAAAGTGTTTTAATAAATACTTTAGAACACTACATTAAGGCACAAGAACAAAAATTATCTTTATTAAAACAGTAGGTATTTCAAATTTTAATTAAATATAAAATTAAAAAAATATATATAAGCGCCATCTATTGGTATTATTACTAAAATAGTAATTATTTGAAACGTCAATTTAATTTTTTAGGACTCTCTAAAGGTGATATTAAAAAAACGTAAACAAATTCCTTTTTTCCTATGATTTAAGCATAAATTAATTAATTTTTGTAAAAAAACGACCTTTCATAAAATTGACATTTAATTTTGACAAATTGTTGTGAAGTTGGTGACATTGAATTTGTGTCACATTGACGTTTAAACTTTATTCAAAAATTTATTTAAAAAAATAGAGTATTCTACTCACATATAATAGCCCTTTACAATTATTTTTGTAGGTATCAAAAAGTTTTTAAATCACAACATGATAAAGCATCAAAAGATGTACAATCCTACATCGCAAATCCGATAAATGCGTATTTACTAGTAAAAAGGCTAACAACCGATTGGAAACAAGCTGAAACTTTGATAACAACAAACATAGGAAACGATTTCATAGCAAATTTAACAGCTTATCGAGACTATTTAAAATTCCCATCCGACGAAGATTTAAACGGAGCCGCTGTTGCTTTAACACGTCTTCAAGACACCTACCAATTAGACACTTCATCATTAGCGCGAGGAGAATTAAACGGAGTTAAATACAGTTCGGAACTTTCAGCGGCTGATTGTTTCGAATTGGGGCGCCAATCGTATAATAACGGCGATTTTTATCATACTCAATTATGGATGCGAGAAGCAGATTCCCGATTAGGTCGGGAATTAAACGAAACTGTTCAAAGAAGCGATATTCTTGAATACTTAGCCTTTTCGACGTTTAAACAAGGAAACGTTATGTTAGCTTTAGATTTAACAAACAAATTATTAGAAATTATTCCAACACATCAAAGAGCATTAGGAAATAAAGTTTACTACGAGGAAGCGATTCAAATGACTAATGTAGAACATAAAAAAGGTGAAACCGACGCGGATACTCACCAAGAATTCATTGACGAGGTAAAAATTAAGATTTTGATACATTAATTAAAAAAAATTAATGTTTTAAAATCGTAGGGGAAAATATTGTACGAACAACTTTGTAGAGGTGATTTATCGACCCCAGAAGAAATCGTAGCTGAATTAAAATGTCGTTATATCACTAATAATAATCCTTATTTGAAAATTGGTCCTTTTAAAGTAGAGGAAGCTTACACGGACCCTAAAATCGTTGTTTTTCATGATGTTATGTACGATAGTGAAATCGAAACGATCAAACGACTCGCCCATCCACGAGTAAGAACGAGATAAATTCGAATAAATAAATATTTTTGTAAAATTTTTTAGTTTCGAAGAGCTACAGTTCAAAATTCGATGACCGGCGAATTAGAAACGGCCCAATATCGTATCAGCAAGTCGGCTTGGCTCAAAGAAATCGAACACGATTATGTAGCAAAAGTTGTCCAAAGAGTTGAAGCAATGACCGGTTTAACACAAACAACCAGCGAAGAATTGCAAGTTGTTAATTATGGAATTGGGGGCCATTATGAACCACATTTTGATTTTGCGAGAGCTGACGAAAAGAACGCTTTTAAAAGTTTAGGAACTGGAAATAGAATAGCCACGGTTTTATTTTATGTAAGAACTAAAACATTTCTATACACATTCATTAAACAATAATTGATTTGTAGATGAGTGATGTTGCTCAAGGTGGTGCAACAGTTTTCCCCTACATTCAAACAGCTCTTTGGCCCCGAAAAGGTTCAGCTGCATTTTGGTACAATTTACATTCCTCTGGAGAGGGTCATAAGAATACAAGACACGCGGCTTGCCCCGTTTTAGCTGGTTCAAAATGGGGTAACAAACTAGAATTTGTAAAATTATTGTTATTAATTTAATTTTTTTTAGTTTCAAATAAATGGATTCACGAACGAGGTCAAGAATTTCGAAGACCTTGCGGTTTTGAACGACCACCACCCGAATTAACCGCCTAAACTAATAATCAAATTAAATTTAACTTTTCACTTTTTTCTTTGAGGTTAGAACAATCTTGTTTCATTCTTTTGATATAAAACTTTTACTTTGATTCCTATTATGTAAATAATTAGCTAATTTTTTAATCCCCTTTTGTATTATCTATTTTATTAATTAATAAACGCTTTATGTTAAAAAAATAAAAACAAATTGTAATAAGATCAGTGTGACTTACATAAATAGGTTCCAATCTATATAAAATAAATAAATATCGATTATTTAGCTCCAATTAATGCTTATTATCTTTAGATAAACAGTCAAAACACGTGGTTAATTTATTAACCCAAATAAATTAATAAATAGAATTTAGCAACAAATTTAGTTGCAACACACCACAACTAGATGGCGGGGTATATTTAATTTTATTCATAATAATCAATTTTTTAAACAATAATATGGTAAAAAATATAATTCATGGCATATAGAAGCTGTTATTGTGTAAATAATTAAATGTAATTTGAACAATAAATAATAATAACCTAAATTAACTCAAACATATCGCGCCATCTAGTTGTATTGCATAAAATGAATTCAGTCCTGAATAAAAATTAAAATGAATAATATAAACGATAACAACAATTAAACACTTTGTGTGATTATAACTATTAAACGGGAATTCATTTTTGCATCATTCGATATCGAAAGTTACTCCTCTATTACTCATACAAAAATCATTTGGTAACCTCACTTTTTCTAATGGTTTAAAAAGTTTCTTTGTTAAAAAAGTGTAATTTTTATTAAATTATTTATGTTTTAGGCAAGAGAAAGGGTTTATTACAATAAATAATTTCCTATTACAACGATCAACACAAAAAATTAACTTAAAGTTTTTAACAAAATGGAATTAATTGAAGCTAAAATAACGGCGATGATCGTATTGGGTTTGAGTAGTTTAATAATCGGGTTATTACCGGCCCTATTTACTCGATTAACGACGAGAATTCCAAAATTATTTTTATCCTGTTTGTTGTGTTTCGGTGCGGGCGTATTATTATCAACATCTTTGTTACATTTATTACCGGAGATTCGCGAAGATTTAGGCGCTGAAAATGAAAAATACGCCGAATTAATTTTATGTTGTGGTTTCTTTATTTTGTATTTTGTTGACGAATTTGTAAATATCTTTACAAAGACACATCATCATCACCATCAGGTTCAACCACAAAATTATGGATCAACTTCAGAAGTAAATGAAAATACTCCATTGAATGGAAGACAAGTTGAAAACGAAGATATTTCACAGTTGTGTCATATCGGACATGAAGAACCTTGTAGTAATAACTTTACTGGTATTTTTAGTTTATTGTTAGCTTTGACTATTCATGCTGTTTTGGAGGGATTAGCTGTTGGGTTAGAAAATAGTACTGAACAGGTTATTTTTAAAAAATTTTGTTATTTTTTATGACTTATAAATTTCTTTTTAGGTTCTTATGATGTTGGCAGCTGTAGCATCTCACAAACTGGTTGTGGGATTTTGTTTAGGTGCTGAATTATCATCAGTAAGACAAATAAGTCCTTGTCAATATTTTATAGCAATAGGATTATTTGCGTTTGGTTCTTCATTAGGAATTGGAATAGGAACAAAAATAGCCAATTTACCCCAAGTTTTACCGCCTTTGTTGATGCCAATTTTGCAAGTAATATTAATTAAAAAGAACTAATATAATAGAGATTAATTTTATTTCAATAGGGTTTAGCTGGTGGGACATTATTATATGTAACAGTAATTGAAGTTTTACCCAGAGAAAGAGCTCAATGGCACAAATCCCATTTAAGATCACCAGGCATTTTACAATTACTATCAACATTGATGGGATTTACAGTTATGACTGTACTTATTTTTTATGTGTAAATATTGACAATCAAAGTAACTTAACAAAATGTGATAATAAGCTTTTCTTAGATATTAATGACAATAACAACTTTGTTATACAATTTATTCTAATTAATTTATCTTATTTTTACAAAACGACTTCTCCACAATCCTCAACCTCCATTCCAGCCTCTTCCTCATCATCCTCACTTTCACTAATTCTTTGTTCTTCACCAAGTTTAGCCTTTTTCAAACCAGCAGCTGGAGATTTTATTAAAGAAATATCGCGTTGCACCTCTTTAATATCCCGCTCATTCTCCAATTCCCTACCCTTCCTTAACCTTTGCATTATGAAATTATTCTGACGTTTCTGTTTGATCGTTTCAACCTTTTTCATCGCGTTAATAGCTTTACTCCACGTCTCTCGGTTGTAAGGAAGCGGCACATTTCGACGTTTTTCAAATTCAAACGATGGATCAATTGCAAGCTCTTTACCCACCGTTTTTCTGTAGGCTTTCGTCCATTTCGTTTTACGCGGATTCTTCTTTTTCTTAAAGGCTGCATGGCACTTTGAACGACAGAATTTAAATATCTACAAAAAAAATTGAGGTTATATAAAATTACGAAATCAATTTTTGATATTTAAAGTGTTACCTTGCAATCGTTTCTTACGAATTGAATGCCGTGGCCTGGATATATTCGAGATGAGCAGAAATAACACGTTTCTATACGCATATTTGGAAATTATTTTGACGGATAGTGAAAACGTGTTTTAGACAAGTGACATTTTGTGATTTTTGGTGCCAACTTAAATTTTAATTATTATTTTATGTATTAATTTTAATTTAATCACTAATTAGATTGAATTAATTCATTAAAATGATTTTGTTAGTAATAATTTTCGGTTTTTGTCATATTAGTAAATAAATTTTGAATGATGATGATAAAAAATTAAATGTATTTATAATTAATTTTATTATAATTATGTTAAATCGATGATTTTAAATCGAATTGAATTGATTTGATTTATAATAATAAGCAAACGAAGTGTATAAATTGTATTATTAAATAAATAATTGTTAGTAATTTTATTTTTAGATAGTTGGTAATAGAATTTTGCAAAATTGGTGGTAAAAACATTGAGGTCAGTGTCTAATGGCGTTCGTCGTCGCAGGTGTCAAGAATAATTTATTTAAAAAACCCGTTGAATAAATCTATTTAAGAGACAAAAATAGAAATTGTTGAAACGATGGCGGAAGCGGCTGTAGAAGAACGAACGGCGTCCAAGTTTTACTGTCACGTGTGCAATGTTCAGTTTGAGAACGCGTCAGCTGTACGTCAAGTTTCCATAATGTTCACGATTATGGAGGCCCCAATTAAATTTTTTTTCAACTTTATTATAGAATTATACTTGCCCACATTGCTGTAATGGTTTTATAGAGGAATTGGACTCAAATGGCGATAACGATGAGGAATTTACTGATGTTACTGACTCAGAGGACGAAAATTATCAGGTAATCAAATTTTTTTATTATTTTTTAAGGATTCCTTGTTAAAAAGTGAATCATAAACGCATTTTTTTGTTTAATTAATAAAGATTGGAGATTTATTGATTTATTAAGTGATGTAATATTTTGACATGCAATGTTTTTGAATCTAGAAAATTCTAAAATTATTGTGGTTACATTAGTCATAAGATAACAGTGTTTATATTAAATTATTTATTTCAGTTGTTTAATTATGGCCCACTGCGATTGTTTCCACAAGCTGAGGATAGGCGACGATTCTTATTGAATCCTTCATTAAGGAGCAGGTACGCCGCAGTACATCCCCAATCCAGGCAGCGACCCAGGTTCGAAAGGTTACCAAAGACATTCACAAAAAATACTCCTTCTTTTTCTATATTTGCATGATAAATTTCTTTTTGGTTGCATTTACTGGGTCTTTATCCTGACTTTGATCTGAAATATTCTTAAAAAATTAATAAATTAACTGATTTTAGGAATAATCCGTCAAATATACGCAGTCAAATCCCATTTGAGGATCTCATCCAGGAATTTGTAGTAAATTTAGGCGTTGGAGTGAATTGGGGAGGAGCCGGTAGCATGGTTTTTTTAGGAAACCCCGGCGATTACGCTTGGGGACATGAAGGGCTTGATGCGGTCGTTAGTCAACTTTTAAATCAAATGGATACATCAGGTTAAAAAATAAATCAAATCATAAAATTAATTAATTGGCGAAATTATTGCAGGACCACCACCTTTATCAAAAGAAGTTATTGATGCTTTACCATCTGTTGATGTTACTGAAAGTCAGGTAAATGCAAAGTTGCAATGTTCTGTTTGTTGGGAGGACTTTCAGTTTCAAGAGAAGGTGCGTCAATTGCCTTGTCAACATGTTTATCATGAACCGTGTATACGTCCTTGGTTGGAACTACACGGAACTTGTCCAATTTGCAGACAGAATTTGGTTACGGGTGAACAACAGAATAGTCAAGATGATAGTCAAACTAATCCTGGTAAGAACAACTAAAACTAACACTAGATTTAGAGTTAGAAACATTGAGTTGGGCTATGTAGCAAATTTTTAGGTTAAGTTCTAACATAAAATAATCATCTGGTTTAGAAGGATCAGAAAAAGTATTGTTTTTATTCTAATTAACATTAAAATAATCATATTTTCTTATTTTTTAAGGGTTTTGCTAGTAAATGATTAATTTTTTCTGTAAATGGTCACTTTCTTTATATGCAAATGCAAAGGAGATAGCCCAAGCAGAACATCCATTGTTAGAGTTTGCGTTGTCCTTGGCGCCATAGAAAATAGATTCGTAGAAATGCAATTCTCTAAACAAAAACTTAGTACTAAAAATTGCACGCATGTGGCGCCATCTGTTGGGGATATTTTGGAATTATTCAGCTAAGAACCCAACCACTAGAATACAGGTTGGATTGGGTTTATATATAAAAGCTCCAACCACAGAATAACTGTTTGGAAACTATTTGAGTGGCTCCAATTAACGCTCCGACTGGTTGGGAATTCCTCATATGCAATTACCTATGGTAATTACACCTGTCAAATAATTCCACCACATTTGAATATCACTGCATCATATGACATGTGAGATTGCATCTGACGAGCTTCCAACCAGTTATAACGTTAACTGAAACAAAGCTATAATGTTAATGTTAATATTTTATAGAATTAATTTAAATATTTCAATCATTTGAAACAGTAAAAGTCAACAAAAGATGGCGCTAGTGTCAAATTAGATTTTTGAGTTGACAGTTCGTTTGAATTTTTAGGTTAAGTTCTAATATAAAATAATCATCTGGTTTAGAAGGATCAGAAAAAGTATTGTTTTTATTTTAATTAATATTAAAATAATCATATAATTTTTTTATTTTTAAATATAGCAAGTTTGGCACTTCAGCAATTATTTCAAGTCGTTCAGCAGAGTTCCGGTTCGAATTCAAATCTATCTTCATCGGCGGGATCTTCGAATTCATCGGCAACAAGCAGTTCCAGTTCTAGTTACAATAGCGATACGAGAATGTAGAATACTTGTAACGTACGGAGAAAAATACAGAACGCAGAACGGTAAGAAGTCCGCTTCAAAAAAATTATTATTTACCACTTATAAAAATCTTTTATTATTTAATTTAAATCGGGGATTTTTTTTTTAAAGTATTAAACTGTTTTTTATAAAAAAAATCGTTACAAGTTATCTACTGATTGAGAAAGTGTTGGAAAAAACCATAAAGTAATGTTAGTAACTTATTTAATTTATATAATTCGCTTAAAATGCAAAAAAATGCGAAAAATGGGTACATCTGTAAAGTGTACATAAAATAGATTTGAAAAGTGAGTTTTTTGTCATATTTTGTACATAATCCGCGTTATTATAAATACTTCATCTTCCGTTTAGCTTTCGTTTTTAATGGTAATCTTTATTTCGTTACAAATCAGCAAGAAAATTTGATTATTTAAATTACACACATTTCGTGATGAATAAATAAAAAAAAATGGTGTAGATATGTTTTATTTTTTAAACCATTTCATTTCCTTAGAAACATTAATATTTGTCAACGTCTTTAATCGAAAGAAAATGTTATTAACACTTCATAACAAAAACTTACTATTATTTCGAAAAATTCGAATCGATTCGAGATATTTTGCAACTCATCTTTTAAAGCGACCACCATTAGAATTTCCTAAACATGGTTCTAAACGTGCTTCTCACAATGACGGAAGCGATAAAGAAGCTGAACTTTGTCATTTAATTGGTAATCGTGAAATCGTTGGTTATGGCTCAAACGGGGAACCTGCGTACTTCGATTATCCGGCGTATCCATTTCCATCGATTCGTTGGAAAGAGTGCTCGCCCCAAATTGCGGCGCTACGCGAAAAAGAAAAAGGCGATTGGAAAAATTTGGATTGCAAAGATAAAAGAGCTCTGTATCGGGCGTCTTTTCGCCAAACATTCGCTGAAATGCAAGCTCCAACTGGGGAGTGGAAGTCAACTTTTGGGTTCACTTTTATGTTTGTTAGCATCGCGTTATGGATTTATATGGGTATTAAGGTTTACGTGCAAAATCCGTGGCCGAAATCTTACAAAGAGGAAGCAAGGGAGGCCCAATTAAAAAGAATTTTGGATTTACAAATCGAAATTTTACACGGGCTTTCATACGAATGGGATTATGAGAATAAAGAATGGAAAAAAGGATGGTTTTAATTGTATTAAAACCATATTATTAAAGAAATTACGATTAAAATATTTATATTATTACATTACTATTATTGTATTTCAATAAATATCACATATTTTATCTGTAGAATAGATGCAATTACTTATTCTTTTTGTTGAGCACGTTCATAAGATTTTTGGTCATAAAATAAGGCCTCTCTCTTGATCCATCGTTGCGTTCGCAATCTTCAACTAAAATTTTAAAAATAATTAATCAAAAAATACGTGTTGTAGAAAACAACTTACGGAAGCACAAAAATAAGGTATCAATAGCCATTATATAAACTTTGAAGAAGACCGATGCGATCAAATACGTACAAATCGCAATAAAAATGATTGGGATATAAACATAATTTAATTTGATGACCTTTACATAAGTTAAAATTGAATAAATAATACTTGAAACACCAATTACAACAATAATTTTGCTTAAGAAGAACAGAAAATCCGTTATCTAAAAAAGAATTTGTATCAACACCAAATAATGATTATGTTAATAATTGAGGAGCGTCTGTTCAAAAGTTTTCAGTGAAATCTAATAGTTTGGTAAAAACTCCTTCAAATTTTGTACAAATTTTTTGATTCTGTTGATCAGGACATCTTTTTAGCAAAGCTTCAATAATAAGGGCAGTCTCAGAAACTTTTTGAATAATCTACTAATGGCACTTCCTGAACCATATTATGAAATTTATAGAAAACATGGGACATTGAAAGTTTTGGAAGAAAACTGGGCTCTGTATGATATCAAAGACCTTGAACAGTATTATAAGAAAGAAGTAGATATCCGTTCAGTTTGCTAAATTGTTGCATAATTACCCTCAAGATATGTGTAAGCAGGAATAAAAAGAAANTAGCCCAAGCAGAACATCCATTGTTAGAGTTTGCGTTGTCCTTGGCGCCATAGAAAATAGATTCGTAGAAATGCAATTCTCTAAACAAAAACTTAGTACTAAAAATTGCACGCATGTGGCGCCATCTGTTGGGGATATTTTGGAATTATTCAGCTAAGAACCCAACCACTAGAATACAGGTTGGATTGGGTTTATATATAAAAGCTCCAACCACAAAATAACTGTTTGGAAACTATTTGAGTGGCTCCAATTAACGCTCCGACTGGTTGGGAATTCCTCATATGCAATTACCTATGGTAATTACACCTGTCAAATAATTCCGCCATATTTGAATATCACTGCATCATATGACATGTGAGATTGCATCTGACGAGCTTCGAACCAGTTATAACGTTAACTGAAACAAAGCAATAATGTTAATGTTAATATTTTATAGAATTAATTTAAATATTTCAATCATTTGAAACAGTAAAAGTCAACAAAAGATGGCGCTAGTGTCAAATTGATTTTTGAGTTGACAGTTCGTTTGAATTTTTAGGTTAAGTTCCTAAAATCATATAAATGATTAATTTTTTCTGTAAATGGTCACTTTCTTTATATGCAAATGCAAAGGAGATAGCCCAAGCAGAACATCCATTGTTAGAGTTTGCGTTGTCCTTGGCGCCATAGAAAATAGATTCGTAGAAATGCAATTCTCTAAACAAAAACTTAGTACTAAAAATTGCACGCATGTGGCGCCATCTGTTGGGGATATTTTGGAATTATTCAGCTAAGNCAAATAATGATTATGTTAATAATTGAGGAGCGTCTGTTCAAAAGTTTTCAGTGAAATCTACTAGTTTGGTAAAAACTCCTTCAAATTTTGTACAAATTTTTTGATTCTGTTGATCAGGACATCTTTTTAGCAAAGCTTCAATAATAAGGGCAGTCTCAGAAACTTTTTGAATAATCTACTAATGGCACTTCCTGAACCATATTATGAAATTTATAGAAAACATGGGACATTGAAAGTTTTGGAAGAAAACTGGGCTCTGTATGATATCAAAGACCTTGAACAGTATTATAAGAAAGAAGTAGATATTCAGTTTGCTAAACTGTTGCACAATTACCCTCAAGGTATGTGTAAGCAGGAACAAAAAGAAAGAAGTAACTAAGTTACTTGTCAAGCAGTTTAGTGACAGCTGAGCTAATTTAACGGAGTTGGCAGAATTGGTAATCACTGCAAACTGATTACAGCTTTGCAAAATTATCTAATATAATTGAAATCGGGTTTGTAATCGTTTAAAACTTGTCTAAATGGTAAAGAACTCTTTTACAAGTGTTCAAAATGGTGGAAATCATTTGGAAATAGGGTTTCTAAAATTTCTTTACTATGAAATAGCCCCTTTTGAGCAGACGCTCCTCATTATTATTACCTTATCTAAAACGAAGACTCTTAAAATATTTCTAATAAGTAGATTAAAAGCATCTTTGGCACTAGCACAAAAGTTTTTGCCATGAACGGCACACATAATGTAAGCGTTACGATTAATGAATTTTAAAAATTTCTCCAAACACCAAAAGAAACATTTTAAACAGCACATTATCGCCCTTGTTAGCGCATTATCGTATTTCTTCAATTTATGATCGATGTATTCCAAAATCACTCTGATAATCCGACAAATCGTAATGATTAATGAGCCAAAAGCCAACGTTCCGATGTGATATCGCAACGTTCTTAACGTCGATGTTGTAACGTTGAAAAACGGAACGTTCTTTTTCTCGAACGTCCAATACCACGTTGCAAATACTCCGGCTAGAATCATTTCGCAAAGAGCCGAGATGAAGAAAACGCCCCAGAAAAATCCAATGATGTTAAAAGCTAAAAATTAAAAAAAATCAAATTAAGTAATTAATTAATTAAAGGATTAATTACCGTGAATGTAAGGAACGTAATTATCGTTGCTTGTTTTAATAAATTTACAAGTAGCCTCGCATTTTTGACTCAATTTATTGACACACTCAATAAATGTATCAACGTTACATTCATCTCCATTCTAAAATGAATCGTATTAAATTAATAAATTTTTGAATAAAGTTTAAACGTCAATGTGACACAAATTCAATGTTACCAACTGTAACTAACTTCACAACAATTTTATGAAACGTCATGTTTTTTACGAAAATTAATTTTTAATACATACTGCATAGTTGCAATCACATTTATCTGGTTCAAAATTTCTAACTTCATATAAGGGGCCTCCCACGGTTGAGATGTAAACAGCTACAGCAATTGTATAACAAATCACACCAAATTGAAGTATCCACGGAATTATAGGGAAGAAAAGCGCTGAAGTAGTCGAACTAACAGCCCTACGAAAAATATGTTAATAAAAATAAAAAGTATCAAATTAAAACACCAACTTGCTCCCTTCTTGGATTAAGGCAATCGCCAAAACAATTCTTTTCCGTAAAAACACCACGATTAAAAATAAAAGACCCAAAATCACCGAGAGGATGATTAAAATCCACATCCATGTTGATGGTTGTTTAAATGCTCTATCAAATGAATTTGTAGCATCCTCGTATTTATATGGATTATCTTTATAATATTGGTATTGAGTAACGCTGTAGTAAACACCTAAAATTTTTTAAATTATCGACTGCGTGTTTGGTTGCATAACTTACAAAATGCTAATCCCGCCAATGCACCAAGAATTGATAACCAAACCATAACAGGAGCGATCCATCTCAGTAAAACGATGTAAATAATACAAACAACGATACTTAAACCAATTCCGAGTAAGATTTCTTTGTACGAATTTTTAATGTCGTTTACGACGTTCATGCCGGCCTATTTAAGTTAAATTATTAAAATAATTAGAATAATTAAATGATTTTAAATTAGCATTTCGCGCGCGCAATTCAAATTTTGCACTAGCGCCATCTTTTAAAAAACAAAAAGGTGAGGTTATGAATACGTCAAGAAACAGAAAAATTAAAGTATTACTCTCTCAGTCCCAAATTATGATATACAAAACTCTGTAAATTGCTTTATTTGTAAAATTAGTAATTCAATTTGTAACTTAATTTAAATATATGTACAGGGTGGGGTCACAGAACAGTAGTATATGTACAGGGTGGTTCAAATTCGATGTCCGAATAGGCTAACTCAGAAACTATAAGAGTTAGAAAAAAAGTAGCTTACATGTCATGATCTCGTTTTTCGAGAAACTGCTAATGCCGAAAACCTCATAGCGCTATCGTCTTTTGTTTTTCCGCTAGAGGTCAAAATTGAAAATATCGTAAAACCAGCAAGTGCAATTATCTTCGTTATTATTCTAGGTGGAGTATTATAATTAAGACATTATATGGACACTTTTTTACAGAGAATTTGATGACGTAGTCAAAAAATTTTTGTCGGTTTTAGATATTGAGATATTATCACAATTTTCGTTTTTTTAAATGGAAACACCACTGATTATTCGCTTAATAAATTCGTTATTTTTTTCTGATTACAAAAATATAGGGTTTGACAGGTCTATTTCTTATTGTTTTAGAATAAAGCTAAAAATAAACTTTTCTTTTAGTGTTGCCGAAGAAAATAAATTTACAGTTTCCTGTAAATTACGGTTCTATAACTAAAAATTAAAAAAAAAACATATTTCTGATATTTGAAATAAATATATTTGTTGAACTGTTTAATTTATATATGTTTTATACAAAAGTTGGAATAGATTGCATTATTTCACATTTTTTATTACGATTTAATATTATTTTTAAATGACTTAATAAATCATCGATAGATGGCGCTCATATGTTTTTTTTTAAATTCAAATAAACATAGCAACATTTGTTTGTATTAAAAAATTTTCTGAAATGTCACTTTAAAAATCCTGTTTTTAAGATCAATTACGAAAATTTTAAAAAGTTCGACATGTTAGAATGTTACATATTAAAAAATTATTTGTTTTTAAATACCAGAAGTTACCTTCGTATTTAATTGTTAACTTTTTAGATTTTACCTACCGCCCGGTAACTTACAGGAAACTGTAAATTTAATTTCCTCGACGACACTAGATGGAAATTTTATAAAAAAAGTTTATTTTTAGCTTTATTCTAAAACAATAAGAAATAGACCTGTCAAACCCTATATTTTTGTAATCAGTAAAAAATAACGAATTTAATAAGCGAATAATCAGTGGTTGTTTCCATTTAAAAAAATGAAAATTGTCATGATATCTCAAAATCTAAAACAAAAAAAATTTTTTTGTCTACATCATCAAATTCTCTGTAAAAAAGTGTCCATATAATGTCTTAGTTATAATACTCCAGCTATAATAATAACCAAGATAATTGCGCTTGCTGGTTTTACGATATTTTCAATTTTAGCCTCTAGCGGAAAAACAAAAGACGATAGCGCTATAAGGTTTTCGGCATTAGCAGTTTCTCGAAAAACGAGATCATGACATGTAAGCTACTTTTTTTCTAACTCTTATAGTTTCCGAGTTAGCCTATTCGGACATCGAATTTGAACCACCCTGTACATATAAGAGATAGAGGAAAAATGATATCACTGTCTGAGGCTCGGATTTTTATAAGAAAGTTAATGGCGAAAACCGCATTTCGATATCTCTTACGGTTTCAAAGATACAGGTGTTTTTGAAAAGAAATGATTTTGTAAGAAGAGCTATAACATCGGTGGGACAAGATTTGCCAGCAAATTGGGAGGAAAAATTAATACAATTTGGACTATAAAATGGACTTAATTAACATTGGGAATATGAATGAAGTACCAGTGAGTTTTGACTTACCATCAAAATTTACGTTTGCAAAAAAAGGCAGTGATGGCATAAAAATTGTAACTACTGGACATGAAAAATCCAATTTCACAGTGACTTTAGCTAAAATCGTAAAATATTAAATATTATTTCTGAGGACGTCATTAAAAACGGATTTAGAGAGATTTAAATAAAATTCTACACTGAATTGAAATGAGCAACTAGAAGAAGATGAAGCTATAAATGAAGTGGAAGTAAACGATCAAGAAGAAAGCAACGAAAATAATCACGAATCATTTATTTTTGTCGGACTTCGATTCGGATTGACCAGGTCATGATTTTATGATCTCATAGAATACTTATCTTCCTACACATAGTAGGTACATAATTTGTTTTATTTCCAAAGCAACTTTTTATGTAGAATTCGATGGAATAAGTTAGCTTTCCCTCAAAGCAATATTTTAGTAGTTGTAAAAATTCAGATTTAAGCCATACAGAACTGGTGCATGATTTTGCTGTTTTCTGGCATTGTCATAGCATGTTCTGGCTACTACAGCCATTAACATAACTTTAATTATGAACCGTTTGCTTTTACAATGCCTTTCTGGTTCTGCTTCATCCAGCGTGATGTAGAATAACCTTTTAACTTGCAGATATTTTAACTTTACGTAGTTGTAGTTTTGACACAACTGGTTTGACTCTTGTAAAGTTTAGAGAAATGTATATCATAATTTTGGATAGAGGGAGTATTATTTATAGATTACAAAATAGAAACAATAAATCCAACGACTCGATGAAGCAACAAATAAAGCGACAAAACAACACCTATAATATATGTTACCTTTTCAATTTCAGCTAAAATTTTAATATTATTTGTAGAACTTATTAGTTCATCGTTATTTATAATATCACTTGGAAAACCTGTTAATGCATCTTTAAAAGGAACACACCTATTAAGAACTAAAAATTGCAAAAATTAATTATTAATTCATCAAAAACACACATAAATGACAACAAAGAGGATTTATTTTAGAACGGAAATCATTTTTAGATGACAAAACAACACCTACTTCGAAAATTGAAATGTTATTAGATGAAGGAAGAAGACCAAAGATTCTTTAGATGTTAAAAAATCTTGATTTATTTTTACCTGTTGAGCTTCAACGCTGTCTGAGAAACGATCGACTGCGTATTGGACAACAAGACCAAGCCAGCTGCTTGCAATATCCAAAAATTTTTTCACTTCGGATACTTCGTCTCGTTCAATGTTGGAAGATCTTGGTATTTTCAAAGATCGACGATCCTCGATTTTGTACAAACATCTCTTAAGAACTGATAAATATCGAATTTGGAAAGATTCACAACAAAACAACACATTTCATGGACATAAAACAATAAAAATAAACATCTTTTATACTTACTTTGTTCGCTTTTTAAAACCCATTTGGCGCAATCACCCTTTTTTACTAAACTATCCAAAGATTCATTTTCATTTATATCATATTTGCACACTGTTTTTGATTTATCATTTTGATTACTATTTTCAATATGATAATAACTCTCTTTTGGACAATTTTTAACACAAACCTAAAAAAACAATTAAATTAAGAATTCTTTAATATTTTAAAGCGTTTATTATACTTGTGGAGTGTTGCATCCAGTAAATGGTACAGATGGATCAATACATTTCGTGAGATCGAAAAAATGTAAATATGGTTTGTCTTTAACGTGGGCATCGTATCCACATCTACTTCCATAGGAATCTCTCGGTATCAATAATTTTTCTGGATCTCCGTTTACAAAGGCTTAAAATTAAATTGTTAATTTTTTTTTGGTTATTTTTTTATTTAATTTACCAAAAATTCCGATTCCGATCCAGCATCCGATAAAAACCAAAAAAAGTAATAGGCAAATCACATCTGTACAAGATCTTCCTTTTAATGGACCATTAAAATCTGGATTATACGATATTCTTTCACCTAAAATTAAATTTAAATTAATTATTAAAATTAATAACCTGTCAAAGTCAAATTATTAGGGTTTCGGTTGGTATTACCTAGGGTGTTTTAAAACTGTGACACAAACAAAGTCTAATTTTAATTGTTTTTGAACGCTATTTTGTGTTTCTAGATCTCAGTTTAGTGTTAATTAAAAAAATAATGTTTCTACTTGACGTTTAAGGTTAAATAATAAATTTAAATTAAAGTGACGTTTTAATAACGTTTTCTACTTTATCGACGTTTCATTTTATTTAACTTATAAGTTAGGCAACCAATCGAACGCATTTTTATGCAAAACATTAATTTACAACAATTTTAATTTGTGATGAATCAAAATTTGAAATAACTTTAAACTTAATAAAAACGAAATAATGTGTTTTTACTTGGCGCGTTCATTAATTTGGGGGTCAATGAACTGTCTAGACTCGAAGAGGCTGAAATTAATAACTTTATTCGCAAAGTTTGTTTACGCGCACGCCCTTTAAACATTTTTGTGTCGTTAAAACGTGTTTGTTTGAAAACTTACCGTAATCGTATTCGTCATCTCGATTTCGAGTCATTTTTAGCAACAAAAACAAGTATTTTTTCGAAAAAAGTTATAACACCCACGTACACATTAATTTTGTGGCTTAACGAAACCGATAACACTATTTAACTTTTATCTTGATAACGAACGACCGCAATAACTTCGTTTTAAGCATTGACCTTACCGATGAAGTTGTCAAGCATTTAAGGAATGACCTCGAGAAAATAAGAAATAATAAGTAACTTAACGTTCATTTAAACTTATTATTTTTATCTTTATCCGTATAAATCTTGTATTGCTTCACAGATATGGTTATAATAAGATAAGCAATTGATTATAATGTATTGGGAAAAACAAACAGTTTTTGTAGTATGTATTTATTTCTTTTGCATTGTTTAAAATGCGACCTACCTTATAAAATCGTGCCAATGTCGTTTATTGTTATATTTTTTAATTTTTTTCCAACTGATAACGTTAAAAGAAATTGAATCACGCTTTTTATGAGTATTATTTATAATTAATTTATTAAAACTCACCGATATCGTTGTCAGCTAAAGCGCTTCTTGATCCCCTCATAGTTAAAGCACAACTGAAAACTTATCACCTCGAATAGCTTTGATAAAAACACTGTTTCTAAATTTCTCCGAATTATCCTGTTAACTCCATCTGAGTCATCGAATGTTTATTTCAAACAAGTTTATTAATTGTAATCTAATCGATTCAAGTATCCATAAATTTCCCAATATTTTTTGTAAATCGTGAAAGGATTTAATTAATATTTAACGTAAAAATCGTTGGGATTACTGCTTTCATCTCTTCTAATTCTAATTTAATCCTATCTTATCAAATACGACTGATTAATTAAACACAAAGTAAATATTCACCCTAAACAACATAGAAAAAGGAAAATTTTAAAACGTGTTATAACGACGGTTGTTGGAGCGCAACTGAATTCATTTCTCTGCACCGAATACACAACGTTGGTGACCTTCTTAATGTTGTTTTCACAATTACTCCTCTTAATTTCGCAATAATTCTTTTCTTGTTATGATTAGTACGACGAAATGTTTCGATAATTTTTCGATTTAATCCATTTAATGAAAAAGCGGCTATTTCAAAACGTATAATTTCGTAAATTAGCACAAACGCCGCTATTTTTAGATTTAAATTACAAATTCGTTCTAAAATTGTGACAGTTAATTTAAATTTTGACGTTTCTCAATAAAAATAAATTTGTCGATGGCGACATCTATGATTAAAGTGACTAATTTTAATTTTTAATTAATCCCAACTTAAACGTGAACAATTATTGATATTTAATTATTAATATTAAAGCATAACTTCATAACCTAATTAAAAATTAAATTAGATTACTTCTTGTATTTTAAATAATTTTGCGTTAATACCTCTACGTTAGAAGCTAAGAGATGTCGCCACCTTACAAGAATTTACACCCAACATTAATTTAAATAAATAAAATCTTTTTATTAATGAGCTAATCCGTTACATAATTAAAAAATGGAATCATTTATAAATAAGCAATCTCCAATCATCAAGATTTTTGCTTACAATTGGGACTAAATCGTTTTTTTGAGGTTATGTAAAACGTCAAAATTAAATTTTTTTATTTTTTAGTAAATTAATTAGAAATGACGTTAAAAAACTTATCATACATAATTATTGTAATAAAATAATTAAAACCTAATCCTTTTTTTCGCCTAATTTCGATTTAACCATTTCCTTAAATTGTCCTAAAATAAGATTTTCTCTTTTGCTTCTTTCCTCTTTACTAAACATAGCCAAAGCGCGTTTTTCATCGGCGGAATAGATTTGATTTTCTTTTCTTATTCGCACAGCTTCCATTCTTCGATGTCTTGAGCCGGACATAACATATCCAACCGATTCGTACGAGGCTATTTGATCGGAGGTTAACCCAATTTCTCCTCTTCTTGGGATTCTTTTTCCTTCTGCTACATAAGCAGCCATAGCTGCTCCTTCTCCAGGTAATAAAGCCTTCCCCATTTCTTTATGTGATAAAGTTGTTAAAGGTTTTTGTTCTGGTCCGATTGCGTCGTCTTCATCGTCTGATGTTTTTTTGGTTTTAATTTTGTTTAAATCTTTTTCAACCCATTCGTCTTCTTGGTTATCATCACTAGAACTGGAGGAAGACACTTTTTTCTTTTTCTTTTTATCTTTTTTTCGTTTCTTCTCCTTTTTATTTTTCTTACTTTTCTCTTTTTTCCGCTTTTTCTTTTCCTTTTTCTCTCTAATTATTTCTTTATCATCAGATTCACTCCCCGATGAACTCGTTTTTATTTCTTCCATTGTAGGACTTTTCCCCCAAATATGAGGACAATCTTGTACCCCAATTAATTCCCTTTCTTGTCTACGCGCCTCCATAAACTCCTCTTCTTGCGATTTCGAATGATACTTGAATTTTCGATCGAAACCATTCTCTCTACTTTTATAGAGGTTATGTTCTGAATATTTTTCATCTCGATGCCTTGTACCTGATCTAGATCTCGATCTTTTATGCTCTTTAGAACGTCTTAAGGAAGAAATTGGTGATCTTGAACGCCTTCTATATGGTTTACTACTCATTTTAACGAGATATTTTACAATCAATGTTTATGACGGTTTAACATAACCTCAATATAAATTAAAACGTCAAATCTAAAATATACAAAATAAAATAGCGGCAAATTTAAAAATGTAAATCTACGCCTTAAAGAAGATAATACGTTACGTTAATTAATAATGTATTTTACGATTTTCTTAATAAATTAATTATTTTGACAATTTAACATAACCTCAATATAAATTGAAACGTCATCAATTCATGTTTTTGACAATTTAACATAACCTCAATGAAGTTGAAACGTCAAATATAAAAATTTAATATAATTATTTTAATTAAATACATTTATTACATTTCAAAAGTGTTTTATTTTATTTATTATTACTTTAATATCATAATTTAACCTTTTTGTCGTTTTAATATCTCAAATTACAAGAAAATAATAAACATCTTGTTTACATAATAATCATCTAAAAAACACTTCCAAGAATTATAAACACATTAAAATTTGTTATTCAACACTATTTATAGCAAATAATATCTAATTAACAAGAACAAAAAAATTGGGGCCAAGATTTTTTAATGGGATCTAAACGTTTTGTTAAAAAGACTGACACAAACTCTTTTCTCGTTTTTTTTTAACACGTGATGGTTTAATAACAGTTTAAAGTGTCCCCGAGCTATCAAGGAGGTATAAATTAAGAAAGTTGCTTGCAACACTCAGTCTTTCTCGTTCGAGCGAAGCTTCAAGCAAACTTGTTATATTACAAACAAATAAAATGGGTAAAGTACAACTATTATTGGTATTTTCCATTGTATTCTTAGTAACATACGTTTACGCCCAAGGAAGTAAGTAAATGAACATTTAAAATAACATTTATTTCTTTGTAATTTTTTAGAAAGTTGTCCTTTGGCCAGCAAGGTCACTTCGTGCAGTCCAAAATGCAAAGACGATACCGAGTGTTTCGGTAAAAGATGTTGCAATAACATTTGTAACACAAAATCGTGCGTTGCCGAAAATATAAGAGGCGGAGATGATGATTATAAAGGTTCAAAGAACACTGCAACTGGGTCTTATTGTGGAAACGTAAAATGTAGCGCGTTTGAAAAGTGTCAAATAGATCGCACCACAAATCGTCAAAAATGTGTTCGATCTTAATACAAAAACCTTTTTTCTTTACTTTATACAATACTACTATCTTTATTTAATCAATATGTAGAAAATAAACACATAAAGTAAATTCTTGTGGTTTTTCTTGTTTTAATTCATCACAAAAACCTTAATTTTTAAGTTTCCATCGTCTTAGGCATGTAATAAAAAGCTAATAGAGTTGTAATGAAATCGATTAAGAAACATATCTTCTAGGGTTGATAATGAACAAAATTTATTGATAAAGTTTTCCGCCTTTGTTTTTTTTATATTAAAACGAGTACACTACTTTTAGATAGATTATATTTGCCTTAGTATCTTATGTATATCTTCTATTCTTCATATTTTTGTATATTTCTCAATATTGACGCATCTAATAGCAATAGTGCAATAGAGCAATATTAATAGTTAACGATTTCTGTAGTTGAAATACAGTAACCTGTAACTTATAGTTAACCCATCTAATAATAGATGGTGCAACTTCAACAAATACAAAAATTCTTTATTAATTTTTATTAAAATTTTTTAACGGGTTGTTGATTATATTAAGCTTTGTGTTCCTGATCCCACCGTTGTTGTTCTTCATTTTTAACATTTTTATTCTGTTTTTCGCACGATTCAGTTTGGTCTTCCATCGGATTAATCTTATCGTTCGATGGAAATTTTTCATCTCCCGATGGAAGGTTTTTGTCTTCTTGAATATTATTGGCATCATCAACGGAAGCGATATTTTGGAGGCTACACACAATGGTCTCGATATCAGAGATAACATTATCCACGTATTGGGTCCTATCTACCGTTAAAGGCATCTTTTTATAAAAATCTTCAATCTCGCTGTAAATCGTAACAAGCTGCGATTGAAGTTCCTCCAATTTCTCCAAATCTTCGTCTTTTGTGCTATAAAAGAAGTCAAGGAATAAGTTAAAATTGTGATAGATATTTTTACGGGGTATTTACCTTTCCATATCTTTTACGTGGGTTTCGGGGGATTCAGGGACGACGCCGTTCGGTTCCGGATGGGCATTTTCCATTCTATCCCCGTTGGACACGAGAATTTTGGTGTGTATTTTCGAGACGTAAATGTCGAGGGACTCTGTTTTGGTTAGACGTCGCTCGGCAACGAAATGAAGCCGGGTATACAACGAATTTTTTTTTGAATGGCAACGAAAGATTCGGTTCGGATTCAATTTGAATTTGAAAGTATGTATTTTTGAAAAAGTAAGGGAAATTTTCTGTTTACAGTGTTTTCATTTACGTTAAAGAGCAAAACCGTTTGGCAACCGTTCTGCATTCAATATAAGGACGAGCTGCTGCCAAGTGGGACCCCTTCATTTTTTAAAGGACCTGCTGTTGCGCTCACATAATGAGCTTGTTGCACGGGCCGCAGGCGTTGCTCTAGTCACTTGGGGTTGCAATAGCACGTCCTGCTTTGCTTCCTTCTCCTATCGGAATCAACAGTTATCTCGTCAATCTTGAATATTCAGTTCTTTGTTTTTTTGAAAATCAATGTATTTACTGAATTAGAGTCGTTAGGGATATTTATTTGGTGGAGGACAACGCAGGGTTGGAGGCGGCGTGTGTTTAAATTAATTATGTCGAGTAAATAATTCGGCGACACATATTGCGTTAATATTTCAGACCGAAACTGGGGCGGCAATTCGAATTTTAATAACGGTGGGTGGCTCACAATATTTGTTGCTACGCCCCAAACTATAGTTAGCGGGGCGGCGTACCCATCCACTCGAGGGTGCTGTTAATGCCATAAATAATCAATTAAATAAACATATTTATTGTTGCGGACCGAACCGACTGCCTGTTTACGCCGCAAAATGTGACGCGTCGAACCGATTCGAAAATGTCGTTTTCACAGAAATCATTTTCAACGACAAACATTATTACAAGCGCAAATATATGCAGAGGTGAAAATACGATCGATATGGTTTTTTTGGAATTCTTTTCAATAATATTATAATATAGTTTTTATATCATATCATAAACTAGAATCTTTAAGCTACAATTTAACATATCAAGCATGCCGTTATCTATAATTATACGGATGATATGATTTCTTGAAAATTTCGTATTATTTTTAATTTATAAATTTGACAGTTTCTTCTTTAATAATTATTTCTTGGAAATTTCAATAATATTACCTTATAGTTTTTATATCATATCATAAACCACACTCATTAAGCTTCAATTTAACATATGAAGTATACCGTTATCCTTAAAAATACCGATGATATGATTTTTTGATAATTTCGTATTATTTTGATTTATAAATTTAACAGTTTCTTCTTTAATAATTTTTTCCTGGAAATTTCAATAATATTATAATATAGTTTTTATATCATATCATAAACTAGAATCTTTAAGCTACAATTTAACATATCAAGCATGCCGTTATCTATAATAATACGGATGATATGATTTCTTGAAAATTTCGTATTATTTTTAATTTATAAATTTGACAATTTCTTCTTTAATAATTATTTCCTGGAAATTTCAATAATATTACCTTATAGTTTTTATATCATATCATAAACCAGACTCATTAAGCTTCAATTTAACATATGAAGCATACCGTTATCCTTAAAAATACCGATGATATGATTTTTTGATAATTTCGTATTATTTTGATTTATAAATTTAACAGTTTCTTCTTTAATAATTTTTTCCTGGAAATTTCAATAATATTATAATATAGTTTTTGTATCATATCATAAACTAGAATCTTTAAGCTACAATTTAACATATCAAGCATGCCGTTATCTATAATAATACGGATGATATGATTTCTTGAAAATTTCGTATTATTTTTAATTTATAAATTTGACAATTTCTTCTTTAATAATTATTTCCTGGAAATTTCAATAATATTACCTTATAGTTTTTATATCATATCATAAACCAGACTCATTAAGCTTCAATTTAACATATGAAGCATACCGTTATCCTTAAAAATACCGATGATATGATTTTTTGATAATTTCGTATTATTTTGATTTATAAATTTAACAGTTTCTTCTTTAATAATTTTTTTCTGGAAATTTCAATAATATTATAATATAGTTTTTATATCATATCATAAACTAGAATCTTTAAGCTACAATTTAACATATCAAGCATGCCGTTATCTATAATAATACGGATGATATGATTTCTTGAAAATTTCGTATTATTTTTAATTTATAAATTTGACAGTTTTTTCTTTAATAATTTTTTCCTGGAAATTTCAATAATATTACTTGATAGTTTTTATATCATATAATAAACTAGACTCATTAAGCTTCAGTTTAACATACATATCATATCAAGATTCCTAAAAACACAGTTAATATGATGTTTTGAAAATTTATCTACTATTCATAAATTTGACACTTTTTTCTCTAATAATTTTTTCCTAGATATTTCAATAATATTACCTAATAGTTTTTATATAATATCATAAACTAGAAGCTTTAAGCTTCAATTTAACATACAAATCATATCATGATTCTTTAAAATGCAGTAGATATGATTTTTCTAAAATTTCGTGTTATTTTGATTTATAAATTTGGCAATTTGTTCTTCAACAATTTATTCCTGGAAATTTTAATAATATAATCTTATAGTTTTTATATCATACCATAAACTAGGATTTTTAGGCTTCAATTTAACATACATATCATATCAAAATCCTCAAAATTACAGTCGATATGATTTTTTGAAAATTTCGTATTATTTTTAATTTATAAATTTGGCAATTTCTTCTTTAATAGTTTTTTTCTGGAAATTTCAATAATCTTACCTTCTAGTTTTTATATCATATCATAAACTGGACTCATTAAGCTACAATTTAACATACATATCATATCAAGATTCCTAGAAACACAGTTAATATGATATTTTGAAAGAAACCTTATAGTTTTTATACCATATCGTGATCTAGAATCTTTAAACTTCAAGTTAACATACATATCATGTCAATATTATTAAAAATTAAATTTTTAATTTCTTTAATGAGTTTTTGTAATAAATCGGTTCCACTTTATCAAAATCAGTTACTAATCAAGATGCATCACGAGTGGAACGAGACTGACTGTAGTAACCGGAAAAGCACCTAATCCCCATCCGAACGCTCTCGCGGATGTAAAAACGAGATCCAATAACTCGAAGCTATTTATTTCCCCATCCAGTCGATTCGGGCGTTTTATTTATCCGTTCTCACAGATCGGCGGCTTCGTTGCGACCCCCTCGAATCCGCCATTTGAATGGCGGACGAACGCTCTCGATTCACCCGGATTTATCTCCCCCGAACGAAACTAACTCCAATACACCCGGAGATTTTTAGTTTCACATTTTTGTTCCAAAAACGTGGTTAACTTAGAACAGAAAGCATCAATAAGTCAAGGTATTGCGTCTATTATGGATCGAGATCGTAAAATATTTAAGGTTATAGACGAAAAAAGAATTTTTGGACCGACACGAAAGTGAAGTCAACTAAAGTCTTGATGCAATGAAATTTTAATCAGCTCCTTTGCCGGAATTGTTTCGTCTTTGTTTAGAAATGACTGACAACGTCAAAGTAATTATTGTTTTAGTTCTAATTAATTTTAAGCTAATGCGAGGAGATAATTTCCGTTTATCGCACGTGGAAAGGTTGGAATCGATGGAGCGGTGTTATAAGTATTTAGGAATTATCAAAAATAACGATGAAGTGATTTGCACCGGAACTTTGTTAAGCCAAGATTGGGTTTTAACCTCGGAACAATGTTGTTTGGATTTGAACCCAAAAACGGCGCACGTTGGATTTGGTTTGTTGATTTGGAGAGAAACCAATTTTATTTCGAAAATATTAAGCGTTGTTTTCAATCAGGATCTTTGTCTGATTAAGTTAAAAGAAAGCATTTTGGAAAATCGCGTTATCAAATATGGGAATGTTACAGATAGTTATGAAATAGCAAATTGCGACATCTCATTTATGGCTAGGTTAGAAAAAAATACTCGAAACAACGAGCGAAGTGTTAAATGCGAAAAAATGGTTGCCGTGGAAAAGAGTGAGTGCGGAAAAATCAACGATGACTTTGGATGTACCAAAAACGCATTTTCTTCAATAACCGCAGATTGCATCTTAAACAGGGGTGGTCCAATTATGTGCAACGACAACGTACAAATAGGAGTAATCACCAAGATTTTAGGTTGTGACGAAAAAGGATATCTAATTGGGTACACAACACTCAAAAAGCACCTCCTTTTCATTCAAAGAGTTATCAACGGAACCATCTCAATCAAAAATTTAAACTTAAGATCATCATCCCAACAAATCAGAATGAGTATAAAACGATTTTTGTTGCTAATTATTTTCCTTTGTAACATGTAAAAATAAAATTCGATGATACATCCGTGTATATATCATAGTTTAAAATCTGCAACGGCAGAACCCGCCCGAACATGAAAAATGGCACGGTAATACGTTACCGGACAAAAAGTTTCCATAAACAAGTCGATAAATTTTGCTTTCGGGTGCTATAGCAACGCGCCCCGGTAGGGCCAACCCGACGGTCCAGCGGGAAGGTAAATTTTACTGCGTGCTCATCCACGTTTAAATTTAAGAATGCACGATACATTTCAAGAGTATACACAACCTTTTTGCAACAAAAATTCCTTTTGAAAAACGGCTGGAAACCCTTTCTTCCGTTTCGTAAAGCAATTTCGAGACGTTTCAACTACTCAAAGATACGAATATGATATGGTTGAGAATAAATTAAAAAATAACGAGAAATTTTTGAAAAAAATCATCGATTGTGTTTTTAACGATTTTGGTATGATATGTTAATGAGTTTAGATTATGATATGATATAAAAACTATTAAGTAATATTACTAAAATTTTCAGGAAAAAATTATAGGTGAAATTGCCAAATTTATACATCAAAATAATACGAAATTTTCAAAAAATCATATCGACTGTAATTTTGAGAATTTTGATATGATATGTATGTTAAATTGAAGCCTAAAAATCCTAGTTTATGGTATGATATAAAAACTATAAGATTATATTATTAAAATTTCCAGGAATAAATTGTTGAAGAACAAATTGCCAAATTTATAAATCAAAATAACACGAAATTTTAGAAAAATCATATCTACTGCATTTTAAAGAATCATGATATGATTTGTATGTTAAATTGAAGCTTAAAGCTTCTAGTTTATGATATTATATAAAAACTATTAGGTAATATTATTGAAATATCTAGGAAAAAATTATTAGAGAAGAAAGTGTCAAATTTATGAATAAAAGATAAATTTTCAAAACATCATATTAACTGTGTTTTTAGGAATCTTGATATGATATGTATGTTAAATTGAAGCTTAATGATTCTAGTTTATGATATGATAAAAAAACTATATTATAATATTATTGAAATTTCCAGAAAAAAATTATTAAAGAAGAAACTGTTAAATTTATAACTCAAAATAATACGAAATTATCAAAAAATGATATTTATAAATTAAAAATAATACGAAATTTTCAAGAAATCATATCATCCGTATTATTATAGATAACGGCATGCTTGATATGTTAAATTGTAGCTTAAAGATTCTAGTTTATGATATGATATAAAAACTATATTATAATATTATTGAAATTTCCAGGAAAAAATTATTAAAGAAGAAACTGTTAAATTTATAAATCAAAATAATACGAAATTATCAAAAAATGATATCATCGGTATTTCTAAGGATAACGGTATGCTTCATATGTTAAATTGAAGCTT